CCTGCTCCTTTCCCTTGCCAGTCGGCTCCTCGAGTTGCCCGCCCGACCCCCCTTCCCCCCCCCTGCCACGCTTTCGCTTTAAAAAAAATAATCCCTTTCGTATTAGGAATAAAAATATTTGCATGGGAAAAAATAAACCATGTGTTATTACTTTATTAAATAATAACAACCCCACCGTCTAAATTTGGCGTTGGTAGTCTGGAACAACATTCGAGTGGGTGGCTGGAAATAAATTTCGTACTTGAAATAGAAGGTGTAAGGGATAAAGCGCAGAGATTTTCCCTAGGATTTTTGTGCTTTGCAATGGTAACTTTCCATTTGGCAACCCGGTCTGGCATCAAACACGTTCTTTGTGCAAAAAAACCTTAAACTGAAAGCTCTAAGGTGAAGAATACCACCTCACACTTTGACCATGCACAAGTAACTAACCAGATTACCTAAGACCATGTCATTCCGAATGGGAAAAGTGCTTTTCCTCTTTCCAGTGAAGCAATGGAAAAAATTGTCGTGAGTCGCTTTATAGCTTCTTAGTAATGCTGAATAGCTGCACTCAGGTCGCATCTTCTTCCTAAAAAAGCACTATGTATGGTTTTGAACTCCAGGTCACAAAATGGATGCAGACAAACCAGAGGGTCCGAAAAAGCGGCAAGAAGAAAAGAAAGCAGGATGAAGCCGTTTTCCAAAAGGTAAGGGTTCATGATGTGCATTTGTGTAATGGGACAAAGGGCAGCACATCCAGAATGCTGTCCGATGACGCCCTCGTAAACTCTATAGAGATGTTCTTTAGCTTCTTCAACAAGGCGATGGTAAAAGGGTGTTACTGATAAAGTTTTAGTCTCACTATGTAATTACGAGGGAAAGAAATCAGTAATCTTTTCAGATGTATGTAATTTAGGAGACAGAATTTCCCTGTATTTGTATGTAACTGGAACATTCTGAGGACGAAAGAGAAGAGTGCTTTCATCAGAGAAATCAATAGCACTTGAGAGCTTTTGACAGCACCTGCACCACTATTTGCAAATTTTCAGGTACTGGTAGCTGAGAAACAGTTTTAGTGGTTGATACTGGGACAATAATAGATGTGATACATACGCTGAAACAAATGTTCTGACTGTGCTGTTGGCTCTGCATTCAGAGGGCGAGTTTGAAAATCATCTATTTGCAACATAGGTTTCAAGTAATGAAAATGTGTCTGGATGGTTATTTTTTAAATTACTACAGAGGATTTTTAAAACTGAATACAACCTAAATTAAACTATTTTTAAACTGGTGATTTTTGATTTAGCTATTGTGAAACATTTGTTCTATAATGTTGGGTTGACCATTTAAATCACAATGTAGAGAGGTAAGTAATTAGCTGACACTTCTACTAAATAGCTGTTTTCTGTCCTCTGAAGAAAAAAAATGTGAATAAAGATGCATTTCCAAATGCATTATTAGAACTATGTTTTTTTTCCTTGCTTTGGTTTTACAAACAAATTTATAATAATTTTTTTAAACCCTTGTTACCTTTAAAGGATTAAAATAGCAGTGTGTTGTTTTGCTGTTTCGACAGTCCTTCTAGAATGCATGATGAATCATTGCTGTTTCTGTAGCCAAATTCTTGCTGATAGCATGGCTGCCAGCTCCTGGGATGTGTTGCCTTAGTATGGGCATTGCAGTATATGACAAATGTCTACAAAGTGCATTGTTGTGTGTGGGTGATTTACCAGCTCCATGGTGAGTTAAAAAACCACCAAATAGCATCCTTCAATTCACTATTTCTTATATTTTGTAACTGGAATACATCGTTTAGGAAAGATGTTCTGTGGTGGTGTACTTCAGAATGACATGATCTATGCAGAGATAGCATAAACTGTTGCACCAAATAATTCCATTTCTGTTTACATTTCCGTATGTGAATGTTTGTTTGAGTGTATGTGTAGCATTTGTATTTACAATCATTTTATGTTAAGATGAAGAAGAATTTTTTAAGTTAAAAAAATGTATCATCATGTGAATTTGTGAGCAAAATGCATTGACGGTACAAATATCCCTAGTACAAGCTACAGTCTGCATACATTTTTAAGTAATTTTTAAATGGTACAAAGTAGGTCCCCTGCTACGTCTTAACAGTAGGCTTAAAGGTACCTTATGCTGCTACACCCCTCCTCATCTCTCTCTATAGGAGAAAGCTTCCTCAGTGCAAAACCCCTTTGTACCGATAAAATTTCATTTCTGTTGGGGGGGTTGTTCTCCTCTTACTGCTCCCAGGTTTGTGAGAGAGAACTGAAGCATGTAGGCTTGCTGTGTTAGAAATGCAAAACCCAATGTATAAACCTAAGATACACTCACTGTTATTTTAAACAGTAATTCTTGAGTAAGGTCTGTGAGCAGAAATGTGAATTAAAATTGAAGGCAAGAATACACATTGTCTCCTAATATCCATAAGTATTAATAATTCTGGGAGCTCCATTGCAGATTCACAGCACTGCGTCAGCAGGGTGCTTAACCCCAGGGGAAGGAAAAGGCGTAACAATAACCTTGCGTTTGGTAGTGAAACCGTTGACTGGGCACGGAGGGTGGGATTCTTCATGTTCCCTGGAAGTTTGGTCATTGCAATGGTGACTTTTCCAATATAGTTAGAGACGAGAGAAGATAAAAACGGTGAGGGACCTCTCTGGTGCTGGCAGAGCTTTATTATACTACTTGGTTTCAGAGTTGGTTACAGCTAGGTTTCCAACATGGACTTACCAGTCAGCATGGTGACCAGTCAGCATGGATGGCGCTAACCTCTGTTCCACTAGAATTCTTGATGTTTAGCTGTGTCCATATTGGCCTGTAGCAGAAACGGCATCATATAGCAGTTTAAGTACTTCTTCTGGGATAATCAAGAAAGAAAAAAAGCACGTAGTGGAAAAACAAAGCACCCTTGAAGAAAGTAGCAGAGGTAGGAATAAAGCCACGGAGTGAGACGAGGGAGGTGAGAAGCAAAGCAATTAGTAAACGGAGAAGTGGGAGAGCTGGTACCAGCTCGTATCACAAGTGTAATTAAAATAAGGATACTGACGTATTTTGCTACATCTAGAAATCTGAGCTTTGCATTGATCTTGCTTATCCTTTCAAAACAAGCACTAACTTATTAAATGTAGCTTCTAAACTTTCATGTGCCTGTGCTGTCCGATTTTCCTCTATCATTTTTTTTCTTTGTGATAGGAAGTCCTATTTCTAATACAAGATGGATGACTTTGCTATACTGAGACACCGCCAAATCAAAGCAACTGCTTCTGCATCCAAGTACAATATCTAGGACAGAGTGATAACTCTGTATGGAATAAGTGAAACAGAATTGTGGAGGAAAGGTTGCTGACAACTGCCGGGGAATTGCTTCTTGAAAAAAGTTGCCTTCTAAACAGTTAAGTTTGTAGGAGCTGACTTTACATACGTGTACGTGTTTTTAAAGAACATTTGAAGATACCGTGTGTTGGATAAGAACTGTGTAACTGGTAGCGTTAACTGCGCTCAAGGGGCATATGAACCGGTGGGGAAGCTCGTGTAGAAAGGTGTGGTACTGCTCGCCGGCGTGGACCCGCACAGGATGGATTACAGCAGTGTAACAGATTCCATGGGTGAGAAAGACTTTCTAGTCAAGAAACTAAGGGTTCTTCTTTTGCTCTTCTTCTCTCTTTTTTTTTTGAGATTTTTTTCCCTCTCAAACCTTTTTGCTGCTCTGTCTCTGAAGTATTTTATTTTTTCTTAGCAGCTTTTATTACAATCTTTCCTTCCCTGCTTCTTTTTCACCCCTTTCTTCTTTCTCTGTTCTCCTATGTCTCCTCTGGTCACCTTCACTATTGTTGATTACTTTCTATGTACTTGCAGTTGCTTTTTCTGTTTCTTGAGTTATCTTTTGCTCACGTTGTTTTCTGTTTATGATACCCTGTAGATACTCTTCCTACGACATGAGCATGCGTGTACACAAGTTGAAACCCACTCACCCCTTGCATTTCTGCTTTTGTCATCCTTCCTATTCTCATACATTCTTTACTCCTCATTTAATCTTACGCTGTCTCTTCATCTTGTCATTTTAGCTGGTCAGCACATCTAGCAATCGGTATGCGTATCCATACAGAATGTTGTTTACATGAGAAAATTAGAGAAGGTAGAACAGAGCTTGGAAATAACTGGTTGGTTACAATTAGTGTTGTTTTATTATGAAGAGTGTGATAGAAATGCTAAGTGTTTTTATTTTTGTTGTTATACTGAAGTGAGCCTGCTTGAAAAAAAGACTTCATTATCCATGCCAGTGCTGAGTGTTAGGCAGAAGAAAACAATCTTTCAGAAAGACTAGTGGAATTGTAAGCATGCGATCTGTATCCACTGTGGAATCTGGGGGGAAACTTCTTTTTATTAGGAGACTAATTCACTTCTACATGAAGTTCAGTGTTAAAACATAAAAGCTGCTTTGAAAGTATTCCCATGGTAGAAGAAGTGACATAGGACGAGATACTAAGGGTACACAGTAGTTAGGGAGAGCACTGAAATACGTGTGTGTGTATATATGTATACTAGGTAAAGAAGATGATTCGTGCAAATTATCAAAATTGCATTTGTCTGTTCCAGTTTTAGTTTGAGTCTATACTGAAACTTTGAGGAATAATTCAACTTTTCCAGAATAATTTCTGCTGGTTTCTCAGAAATACTGTTTTCATGTGTTTAAAGTTTGTGTGCTAGTTTACTAAAAATGTGATTGTTTTTGATTTTTTTCCTATTGGTTGTTGCTGTTGACTATTCTTCTCACTCCAGAGATTTACAGTTGTCAGTATTTAAGCTCTGTTAATAACCTGAGCAAAACTGACTTTGTTGAAATAGCTGTTAAGTTTCTAATAAAAAAATAAAAAAACCCCAGTTGTGGTATGTATGACTAATGCTAAATGCTATTTTGTCCTTTAACGACGAATTCACCAGTCTAACTGAAACACAAGAAACAAATCTTTTAATTCATTAAAATGAGTTGTGGTGTGGTGTTATACTTCAAGTAGAAAATGTTTTGAAGTCTCAGCAAAAAATAGGTAGGGAGAAGAAAATACAATGTGGTAAAAGAAAGCTTCTGTTTAACTAGGGAATTTATTCAGGGTGATGTGCTTCTGCTAATTCAGGTAAAGGAATATTAGCATATAATGCATTAAAATTACTTTAAAACTTTAATTACCATGTATTTTTTGTTTCTCAAAATGAATGTTTTTACTTGAATCCACCAAACTGAGAATCAAAGCAAGGATCAAATCTGAAATACATCTCTTGAGCTTGTATAGTGCTTAACAGCTGAAAGAAACATGGTAAGAAGTCCTAAAGCGTTCTTCAGAGAGTGTTCAGTGGAGTCATTTGCTGTACCTTACCTTTCCAAATTCTGTTAATCTCACAGAACTTTCTAGGAACCCTGTAAATGTATTTTCTGGCCTTCAGTGATTACAGATAACATTTAATTCCTTTGGCAAACAGGGATTCTTATGGAAAATTTTATACCCAACTCATGTACAAGAGCTGAATTGCAGTAAATGTTAAGCTATCTGAGAAATAGAGCCTGTCATTTTAAAAACTTCCCCTGAATATATATGAATATAATTTGAGCCTATTAAAACTACGCATTTTCAGAATTTAGTTTTCCATTCCCATAAAAATATCTGTATTTATGGATTGTTTGGAAACT